TATATGTAGATAGATATATATATATATATATGTAGATATATATTTATGTCCGATTTTAGTAATTTAGTATGAGTGTATACTTGTACAGAGTGCCCATCCCTACCTAGCTTCCTCATCCTGGTAGTAGTTTGCGAAGAGAGTGTGTGTGGCTCTGTGTGATGCTGGACTGTCCTCTACACTGACGATGTTTGTAAACCCTAGGGCCAATGCGATGAAGGCAAGCGTAGACCCATCACTGACAGACAGGCACAACTGATCCTTTCTATTGTGTATCTGCCAATCATGATATATATATATGTAGTATATTAATGGGTAGAAAGTGGGGGGGTTTATTCGTGATATATATATAGTATATAAATGGGTAGAAAGTGGGGGGGTTTATTCGTAATGTATATATAGTATATTAATGGTTAAAAAGGGGGGGTTCATTCGTGATGTATATATAGTATATTAATGGGTAAAAAGTGGGAGAGCATAGGAGGAGTTCGATGATTTGGTGAGAGTGTGCAAGTCCGTTATACCCAATCAATGCGAAGCAAATTCTATAGATGGCCAATCATCTTGACTATATGGTGCAACCCAACACAACAGCACAACACACCCATAGCCTTTTAATGGCCGCTCGGCCCTGTGTTGATTTAGGGTTTAGGGTTTAGGGTTTTAGAGATTCGCGGTTCAGGGTTTTTAGGTGTTTAGAGTTTAGTTTATGAGGAACGCCATGAAATGAAAATGTTCATTGCTGGACTGGAGCGCTGGGCCACTCCTGACGACAAACCAGCATGTGGTGTACGTAATAGCTTCATCACTTCTATCAACTATCAACCACACACATGGTACAGTGCACGCCCCCACAAACAGCACAACCACCACACACACACACACACACACACACACACACACACACACAGAGAGAGAGAGACACATACACACAGAGACACACATAAACAACCCATGCCCGTTGTTCTGCACGCGTGACTTACCTTAGCTAGAGCACTGTCGTACACACTCACTCGGTTGTGATCGTTAAGCGCCGACATACGTGCGTCATGCAGCACCATATGCAGTCCACAGTCACACATGGGCAAGGGAACCTCCGGCACCTTCTCAGCTACGGTTGAATCTGAGGGCGAGTCTCGCACCTGCCATGACAGTGTGTTGTATTGTCGATGATGCACATTAGGTATGTGGTTGGGAATACATAGATTGAGTGCAAATCTCCTTTTTTTTGGGGGGGGGGGTACTTGTTTGAGAATTGGTTACTATTTAGGAACCCCCTTATCTTTATAACTATATATCTGTTATAGCCAGTATATGCCAGTACAACTGATGATCAGTTACAACCAGTATTTGTTAAATCAACTGTTGGGTCAATTGGTTCAGCGTATGTCAGTGCATATGCCACACACCACAACCTATCCATTTCTGAACACAAGATCAATCGAGGTGACGAGTTACTGATACGTTTTCTTTGGATGAGGCCGTTTCTACGACGTTCATATTAATTCCATTTTACTTTCACACTATCTCATGTCTTTGGAATTATCTCAAACACTTAACTGACTACAGTAGCCCACTGAGTAGGTGCCGTAGACCACCCATTTCCGCTGGTGACAGATAAGTCACCTTAGCGTTCATGTAGTATGATACACTTGTGTCTTATAACACGGTTGGGAGTGGTTGAGTGTATTTGCATGTCTTATCAATGCATACACATGCATATATATATATATTTACACATACATATACATAATATGCGTACATGCACAAACATATACACTCATATACAAATGTACATATATATATATATACAATCATATACACACATATACAAA